AGAATTTGTGGGCGCTTCATCTCTGGAGGCTTTGAAAAAGAGACTGGACTGCTATTTGTCAGAAATGATGTAGGGTCTCCTGCTTGAATGGGGGTGGGGGGGTGGGGTTGGACTAGATAACCTTTAAGGTCCCTCCCACCTCTGTTATTCTATATTCTTGCCTTCAGAATTTGTGGGCGCTTCATCTCTGGAGGCTTTGAAAAAGAGACTGGACTGCTATTTGTCAGAAATGATGTAGGGTCTCCTGCTTGAGGGGGGGTTGGACTAGATAACCTTTAAGGTCCCTCCCAACTCTGTTATTCTATATTCTTGCCTTCAGAATTTGTGGGCGCTTCATCTCTGGAGGCTTTGAAAAAGAGACTGGACTGCTATTTGTCAGAAATGATGTAGGGTCTCCTGCTTGAGGGGGGGTTGGACTAGATGACCTATAAAGTCCCTTTCAGCTCTGTTAATTTGTCTATTTATCTGTCTGTCCACTTTACCCCGAACACGGTTTACATAAACCACGGTTTACTGTCTTCCCCTAAAACCCCAGATCTTCAATGCCACCTGGGCTGGCATCGCCCAGATCCCTGGTCTGCCACCTCATCCCACGCCGGCGCAGCCTAGCCGCTCCGTCTATCTCCCCCAGAGGGCTTCAAACTTGGCTACTTTCAGACTTGTTGGACTTCAACCCCCTTCTGGCTGGAGAATTCTGGGAGTTGAAGTCCACAAGTCTGAAAGTGGCCAAGTTTGGGGACCCCTGATATTCTCCCCGCACCCGAGACGGAGCGGCTGACTTGGAGGGGCTCCTTCAAAGCTCCATCCAAAAGAACCAAGGCTTTCCTCTCCGTCTTTGGCGGTCTGGGGAGGGGGTGTCTCTTTCCAGCTGCCCCTTGCGGGGCGCGGGGGCCGAGAGGGTCGGGGCAGCGGAGGCGGGCCCGCCCAACTTCGGTCAATTTTGCGGGCGGAGCGCAGCGCGGCGCCCGCTTCTCTCTCTCCCCCTCTCACCTCCCCTCGGGCCCTTTTGCGCACGAATCCGCGACGTTTTCCACCCGGGCTGCGGCTCGCCCAGCCGAGATAAAGAGGCGGCGGAGTTGTGGGCCACGCGCGCCTTTCTGGAGGAAGGAAGAAGAGCCCGGCCAAGCGGGCGAAGAGCCGCGGGCGGGGGAAAGGCGCACCTGTTGCTGGCGAGGGATGGATCGCAAAAGCGGCGGGGTGGAAAAGAGCCACCTGCTCGACGGGGCGGAAAGCAGGTGAGTCCGGGGAAGGGTTTCTTCCTGCCCTGCCCTTTTCTTCCTTTCTTTTTTTTCCTTTCCTTTCTTTCTCTCTCGTCCCCTCTCCATTCCCTCCCCTTCTTTCCCTTTCCATCTTTCTTTCTTTCTCTCTCCCCTCCCCTCCCCTCTCCCTTCCCTTCTTTCCTTTCCTTTCCTTTCCTTTCTTTTCTTTTCTTTCTCTCTCCTCCCCTCTCCACTCCCTCCACTCCCCTTCTTTTTTCCCTTCTTTTCTTTCCTTTCCATCTTTCTTTCCTTATTTCTTGTCTTTCTCTCTCCACTCCTCTCTCCTCTTCTCTCTTCCCTTCTTTTCTTTCTTTTCCATCTTTCCTTTCCTTTCCTCCCCCTCCCCTTTCCCTTCCCTTCTTCCTTTCTTTCCTTTCCTTTCTTTCTCTCTCCTCACCCTTCCCTTCTTCCCTTCCCTTTCCATCTTTCTTTCCTTCTTTTCCAACTTCTCCACCCCAACGATGATGCCAATCGCCTCTGCCCAGCTTTCTGCTCTGCCACCCTCCGCTACTGTGGCTCGATCTCATGGCCGAGACTCCCATGCAATTACTGAATTTCTTTTTTATATTTCGCAGTCATTATTCCTAAAAAAAAAACACTTCAGGTTTCTATTCTATTTTAACACCTGTTATTACCTCTAGCCACTTTTTGATCCTTTTCCCAAAAAAATTAGCCTCCTCATAGGTCTACCATAATAAGTGGTAGTATGTTCCATGTATTGATTCACATTTCCAGCATTTTGGGGAAGTATTTGTTGAGATTTTAGCTAACCGTGTTGGTGCCAGGTGCCCTCTGTAAAACATTTTGTACTGATTTTCCTTGTATGCAACCGATAGTGTCATTTTTAAGTTTGTTCCCCAAAATTTTTCCCATTTATCCAATTCAATATTATAGCTAAAGTTCTGTGCCCATTTTATCATTTGTTCTTCCACGATTTCCTCTTCCATTTTATACTTCAGGAGAAATTTAATATATTCTTCCTATCATCTTTCTATCTGAGCTGTGAATTATTTTATCCAATTCGTGTGGTTCTGTTTTGATGTCATATATTTTAGTATCATTATTGTGTTTAGTTTTGATTAGCAAGTAGGTTAGCCAGTCAACTTTCATGTTTTGTTCTGCCAACTCTTCAATTGTTTTAAAATTTCCCTGCCGTCAATTATGTCTCTGTATCTTAGCATTTTATTCATATCTATAAAATTTGGATGGATCATCCTTTCTG